ACCCTTGGGTCCCTTTCCTCTACCAATAGCCCTTTGATTTTTAGGAGATCTACTCTCACCTTTGTTTTCCACTTTCCTCTCAAACTTCTGCATGTAAGAGAAAACACATGACCTGTAACCTTCTTAGTTTGACTTACTTTGCTTAGATGTTGACTTGATTTAAGGTAGGATGAGAGCTTTTAAATTTTCTTTATTTTAGAAGAATGTGGATGTGTTATATGGTATCAGTTCTTCTTTTTCCTTACATTCAGTTTTAATGAGCTTTGTAAAATGTGGTTGGAATAGTGGTTCTAAGGTTATGTGCCAGGAACAGTCTCCTAGTGGGAGGAGGCATATGATACCCGTGGACGGAGAAGAGCCAATACTGCCTCTTTTTTTTTTTAGCTTTTAAATTTTCTTTATTTTAGAAGAATGTGGATGTGTTATATGGTATCAGTTCTTCTTTTTCCTTACATTCAGTTTTAATGAGCTTTGTAAAATGTGGTTGGAATAGTGGTTCTAAGGTTATGTGCCAGGAACAGTCTCCTAGTGGGAGGAGGCATATGATACCCGTGGACGGAGAAGAGCCAATACTGCCTCTTTTTTTTTTTTTAAAGATAGAGTGAGAGAGGAGAGAGAGAAAGAGAGAGAGAATTTTTCAATATTTATTTTTTAGTTTTTGGTGGACACAACATCTCTGTTGGTATGTGGTGCCGAGGATCGAACCCGGGCCGCACACACGCCAGGCGAGCGCGCTACCGCTTGAGCCACATCCCCAGCCCAGCCTCTTGATTGATTTATAAAGCCTCATGCTTTAGTCTGCTCTTGAGGAAGTATTATTTTGTGTGTGTGTGTTTGTGTGTGTGAGTATGTGTTTATGTTGTTGGGGATTGAATCCAGGGCCTTGTGCATGTGAGGCAAGCACTGTACCAACTGAGCTATATCCCCAGTTCAATAAGGAAGTAGTGTTCTTTGAGAAACATTTTAGGTTGTTTTATGTTTTAAAACATTTAGATTTTATTGAAAAGAAAAAACAAATTTGTTGAATGTTTGCATTCTTTAATACCATTACTTTTTTTGTGTGTGTCCTTAGCACTTTTAATTTTCTTAGGTGAAGCTTAACATTCTTTATTTTGCAGGGAAGAAGAGTCCTTAGTAGATCAATTTGTGTTTGAAGCCTTGGTGATCTATATGGAAAGTCTGGCCTTGGCACATGCAGATGAGAAATCCTTAGGTATGTGTCATACAGGTGTTTGCTGTAAGGTCTTAAAAGTTTTTCCACCCAATACTTAAGGCTGAGGTGATTTTCTTATAAGGGATGTTTTCTTTTTCATATCTTCCATAAATAAATTTGATATGTCCCTTCTGTACCTCAGATCCAGTTTGTAGGTTTTTCAAGTCCTCACCTAAGATTCCCTGATGGCTGTAGAATTACCCTTGGTTGGTGGATGATCCTGCAGTGCAGCCACTCAGTGACTAATGACATGAACATGAAAATGTGCAGAGTCACAATGCTGAAGAAAGCTGGATGCAGTAGCCACTGAGAGGAGGCTAATGTCTCTGAACTCTCTAATGATGACTTAATGGGTCTCATTATAAGATTGTGATAAAGCTATTTCAGCCATGGTTAAGGAATATGAAAAAGGTTCTATGTCAGAAGTAGGGTGGGCTAGAGTTGTTAAAGAGTAATAAATGTTAACTCTTTATAATTGTGTCTAAACAATACTAGAAACATCAGAATTTTTGAGCTAGAAGACTTCCTAGAAATCTCAGTTGGGTTGGGTGTGGTGGCATACGCCTGTAATCTCAGTTGCTTGGCAGGCTGAGCTAGGAAGATTGCAAGTTCAAGGCCAGCCTCAGAAATTTAGTGAGGTCCTAAGCAACTTAGTGAGACCCTGTCTCAAAATAAAAATTTAAAAAAGGACTGGGAATTTGGGCATTTGACTCCATGGTTAAGTACCTCTAGGTTTAATTGTTGGTACAAAAAAAAAAAAAACCTAAAAAACAAAAAGCCTCAGTTGGTCCCAATACTTCAACACTTGTCAAGATGCAGAGTGTTTGTGGCTCATTATGTCACATAGCTGTGAGGTGGCAGGACTTCTCTTTTACTTGTCCACATCTTGGTTTTTGTTTATTTCTTAAAAAGACAGTTTAGAGGTTAGGATTTATCTTTATGTCAAAAGTCTGCCATAGGCAATAATGCTAAATATTTAGTCCTTACCTTAAAATTTTACTTTGTTTATATTGATTATCCACATAGATGCATTTTGTCAGCAAATGAGACTTTTCCTAAAATCACTGCCTTGTGCCAGGCCCTGGATTTGATTCCCAGCACTGCAAAAAAGGAATAGAAAGAAAATCTTAGTGACAGAGGTTGCTTTGCACCTCTTTTCCTTCCCTAAATAATTATAGATTTCTTTGAGTGGTTTGCCATCTTAGTTCTGTTCTCCTTCTCCAGTGGCTATATTACTAAACTATAATATGGCTTATCCTACACAGGAAGAATGGGAGGCCAAGGAACTTATACTCCTTAAAGAATAGCTTTGAATTGAGGTTTTAAGATTCTGGCCTAACATGGGGTTTTGTAATATATACTTGGTCTCTTATCTCTAGTTTATTGTGTAAAGTTGTACTTTGGCTGCTGACAGTGCTGGTGGTGCAGATTGTAGTTGGTATACTTAGTTATGATAATACTCTGTGTATATGTGTGCATACGTATGCCATGCTATCATAGTTTTAAATCTGGGTTTGTTTTTGGACATGCAATATAAACCGTTTATTGAAATTTTGTATTCTGAAGGATGGATTAATATTAAATCTAGGGGTTGGGGTTGTGGCTCAGTGGCAGAGAGCTTGCCTAGCTAGCCCACATGCGGCACTAGGTTCAAACCTCAACACCACATGAAAATAAATAAATAAAATGAAGGTATTGTGTCCATCCACAACTAAAAATATTTTTAAAAAAATATTAAATTTATAGTAAAATTATCTTTTTAATCACAAAATTAGACCTATAAATATACAATCTTACCTTATTAATAATAATCAGCTGTATATTTTCTTGGGAATCTATTTTGTTACTGGAGAACAGGTACAATTCAACAGTGCTGTGATGCCATTGATCATCTCTCGCGCATTATTGAAAAGAAGCACATTTCTTTAAACAAGGCAAAAAAACGACGTTTGCCACGGTAGGTAATATTGTTTCCTTTTCTGTTTTTTCTCCCCCCACCATAAAACCAGTTTTTAGCTACCAAAGAATTATTGGGGACAGATGTGTGGAATTATAAAGAATTAGTTTCCTGAAAAAAATGTATGGAAACATAGTCTATTTTCCAAAGGAGTTAAAAAGCTTTCTGTTTGAAAACATTTGATTTAAGGTGGAAGTTATTTGATCTTGGTTGGAATAGCAGAAATTGAAGATTAATTTTGAAACTGAGACATTTTATTTTACCTCCATTGATTTTTATGTTGTTATTATTATCTTTTGTGGTGCTGGGGGTTGAATCCTGAGTCTTGCTCATGTGAGGCAAGTGTTCTGCCACTTACCTACATCCCAGCCCCTATCTATACTAATTTTGAATACAAGTTTGATGTGGATTTATTTAGCTAGTGTATGCATGAATTATTGCACAGTAAAATTTGAAGTTTAAGAACTGAATGTAGCTCAGTGGCAGAGTGCTTGCCTGGCATGAGTGAGGCACTGGGTTTGATCCTCAGCACCACATAAAAATAAACAATAAAATAAAGGCATCATGTCCATCTACAACTACCAAAAAAAAAAAAAAAAGAAAGAAAGAAAGAAAAAAAGAACTGAATGTGGAATAGTAGAATTTTTGACAGACACAGGATTATGGAATGATGACATGAAGCTGCTCAAAGCCCAGGCTAAGTGTCAGGTCAATGGTTTTCTGTCATTGGTATTATTTCCACCCCAGTGGTGCCTCATTGTCAGATAGGAGTGGGGGATACTGTACTTCCTATATCCTCCCGTGGGTGGGGAGCCCTGGAGAAGCATGTAGATCAAAAGTAATCTTTTCTCCATTTTAAAATGAATTCTTCCAGTTTCTTAAGTTACAAAATTTCTTTAAGTAGTTGCTTTTCTCTCTTGTTCTCTTGCAGTACTAGGGATTCAACTCAGGGCCCCACGCATGCTAAGCAAGCACTGAATCATTGAATTACACCTGCATTCCAGTAGTTGGTTCTCAAACTTTAGCTGTAGGTGTAATTAAAACAGATTGCTGGCCTGGCCCTACCATCAGGATTTCTGTGTCATTTTTGGAATAGAGTCAGAGAACCTGCAGTCTTAACTAGTTCATAGGTAATACTGGTCCACATGTTGAGAAGTACTGCTTTTGATCTGAAACCCTTATTTGATTTAAGTTACATTGAAAAGGAAACACAAAAAATATTTGGTGTTGTTCTATTGTAAAATATTTAAAAAATTTTCCCCTAGATCAAAAAATAATAAAATGAAGGTTACCAGCTGTTGAGGTCATTGTTTTCTAATGATAATACATTAAAAATGAGCTGATGGGCTGGGGTTGTGGTTCAAGCGGTAGAGTGCTCACCTAGCACGTGTGAGGCACTGGGTTTGCTCCTCAGCACCACATAAAAATAAAATATATTGTGTCCATCTACAACAAAACAAAAAATATATTAAAAATGAGCTGAATGAGATTTTTTACATATATCAGTGTGGTAAAATTGCATTCATAACTCCTAGACTGTTGTATAAGCTAAATATTGAATGTTGGAGAGCATATTAAAGACATTGTGTTCTATCTTGGTAGAGGATTCCCAGCTTCAACATCATTATGTTTATTGGATCTGGTCAAGTGGCTTTTAGCTCACTGTGGAAGGCCGCAGACAGAATGTCGACATAAATCCATAGAACTCTTTTATAAATTTGTTCCTTTACTGCCAGGTATGTTGATTTTTACATTCCTAAGAAATGATGGGTTTGAGTTTGCTTTTGCCAATAGCTTAGACATGCATACTATTAAAAACACACTCTTCCTAATCAATGATGAAAGATATTCTGAAGCCAATTACTTGAAAGAATATACATATTTGGCTTCTGAGATAAAACTGAAAAACAATACACCTGATCTTTCTGTTCTTTAAATGAGTGTTATAATATGTTTTCTTTCTTTCTTTTTTTTTTTTTTTTTTTTTTGGTGGTACTGAGGATCGAATCCAGGGTCCCACACATGCTAGGCTAGTGTTCTGCCACTGAGTCACATCCCCAACCCTTATAATACGTTTCTAATAAATAAAAAAATAAGTATGTTAGGTAATTGTTTCAGATTTATGTGATAGATGATAAAGATTTATAGAAAGAGTTATTTTGATGTTAATCAAATGGTACAGAGTAAGTAAATTTAGAATTTCCTAGTATCTTATTTATTTGGTACCAGGAATTGAACCCAGGGGCACTCAACTACTGAGCCAAATCACCAACACTTTTAATTCTTTTGAGGCAGGTTCTTTCTTAGTTGTTTAGGGTTTCACTAAGTTGCTGAGTCTCTTTTTGAACTTTTGGTCCTCCTACCTCAGCCTCCCAAGCTGATGGAATTACAGGTGTGTGCCACTATGCCTTGGCTTTTCCCAGTATTTTAGATTTCAGTATAGTTTTTGCTTTTTTTAAATCCCATTTAGAATAAGTAGAGTTGTATCACTATTGAAGTTAACATGACATTCAATTAAGATTCAAAATATTAACCTAATGAGATAATGCAGTTCTATTTCAACATGTAATTAATAGGAAATTCCCATAGTCCTTAGTCTGAATGATCTCACTCGGATCAGTGATGGTAAAAGAAAGCAGTTAACTTGTTCTTTTGAGGAATTTCTCATTAAACATTAAATTGCACTTATGGACTTGAAATAATTACTATATTTATCAGGAATATATTGTTTTATTTTCTCTACTAAATCCAAACAGGGATTTGGTAGCTTTGAATATGTCCCAGGATGGAACGTGGCCTAGGACTCCCCCTTCAGTACTCTGGTCACTAGTCTAGAGCCAGGACTCTGTGTGTCTATGGCATGTGCCTCTGACCAGGAGGGGTAGTTATCGCACAGAGGAATGTGGGCTGCAGTTAGGTTTACTCAGAAGGTTTCTACATTTTTTATACTGTAGCATATATTCTGATGTTATATATATCACGTGTTTTATATATTATATTCATACCATATATTATATGTGCCTTATAAATATATAATATAGGGCCTGAGTTGTGGCTCAATGGGAGAACCCTTGCCTAGCACCTGTAAAGCACTGGGTTTGTTCTTCAGCACCACATAAAAATAAATAAAATAAAATTGTGCATTGTGTCCAACTACGACTAAAAAATATGGAAAAATATATAGTATAAATTTATGTCATACTCTACCTTTATATAAATAATGGAAGTATATATCATTTTAGAGAATTGCTTAAAAACATGATTAGTATTTCAGATTTGCTGCTTTTAGCTTACCAAGTTTTTGTTAATCTCCTAAGTCATTCTCCTAACAACACTGAAGTCAGTCAGTGAGGAGTGTAGAAAGCATGTGTTTTGCTGTTTTGAAGGAGCACAGGTCCAGGTGTTTCATAGGCAGAATTACTTACTGGCAGAGCCTCCCCCTCAGATTTGATGCCTGTGCGTCACTGCTCCCAGACATTTCATTTGCGTTTCTTCTTTTCTCAGCTGCCTATTAATAGGGAACTTGTATATTTTGAACTAAATTCATAGTTCTACCTCTAGGAATTATTTTTGGTAAACCAAGGATGCAGGTGATAGGCGAGCCTTTCCTCTCTCCCAGCATATAATTCATATAAAATCAATGAGTTTCCTTTAGTGTGTCTCTTCTATGGTTTCCAGGGTACTTCTGCCTCTCTTTCTCTGGTGTCTTTTCCCCCAGTGGTTTGTAAGGGTCAGCGTTAGGCGTCTTTTCAGTTCATAGTGCAGTGAGGTTCCTAGGCCTGTGAACATGACAGCAGGTGCAGGCTTGTCCCCATGACATGTGTCCAGCTGTCAGGGAGGCATAGCTTCGCAGTGTCTTCTGAAAATTTAGACCCAGGATGAGTGTGAGTGTGCTGCACAGAGGCCAGAAACAGATGAGGGAGGCCCAGAAGGAGGACATGAGCCTTTGTGTGTTGTTGATCTGTCTCTCTTCTTGCTGAGAATCCCTTGTGTTACTCAGTTTCTTGATCTGCCTTTGTCCTTTCTTCTGATACTTTCTCGTCCCTTTTGCTAGCATTTGGTATATAGAATTTCAATATCTTTATGTTTTACACTCAGTATTATCATTTCCTTGGACTCTTCTTAGTAAAAGTAATGAAATGTTCCCTTTTAATATGTAAAATATCCTATTCTTTTTTTTCTTTTTTATTCTTTGAGACAGGATCTCTCAAAGTTGCCGAGGCTAACATCAAACTTGAAATCCTGAGTTTTTGGGATTACAAGTGTGCACCACCACAACTGACTGACTCATGAAATGTAGTCTTTTTTTTTTAAAGTCTCCTTAAGGGCTGGAGATGTGGCTCAGCGGTAGCGCGCTCGCCTGGCATGCGTGCGGCCCGGGTTCGATCCTCAGAACCACATACCAACAAAGATGTTGTGTCTGCCGAGAACTAAAAAATAAATATTAAAAATTCTCTCTCTCTCTCTTTCTCTCTCTCTCTCTCTCTCCTCTCTCRCTCTCTCTTTAAAAAAAAAGTCTTCTTAATACATTAGAAATAACTTTATTGTTTTGATTCTTTTTTAACTTCATTACAGGCAGAATGATTTAATCTTTTCAGAGCCACTGATATCAGAGAATACAAAATATAACTTTATATATTTCTTGTTTTGATTTAGAAAAAGTTTAATATCAAAAAGAAAATATCTTTTAAAAAGCCAGGTCATATAAGTTGTGTGTGATGGCACACAGGTGTAATTCCAACTAACTTGGGGAACTGAGGCAGGAGAATTGTAAGTTCAGTACCAGCCTGTGCAATTTAGTGAGACTGTCTCAAAATAAAAAGGGCTGGGAATGTAGCTCTGTGGCAGAGCTGCCTGCCTAGAATGTGTGAGGCTCTGGGTTTGATCCCCTGTTACAAAAAAAGTGGAAAAAGAAGAAAGAAAAGAAAAGCAGGTCATTTGACTTTTCCTCAACAAACACTATACTTACTATGTGGTAAATGATATTCTAAACATATGCTCAGATATTAGCTACTTTAATTCATTTAATCTTTGTATCAACCCAAGAGATAGATATTATTGATCTTGTTTGTAGATTACTGAGACACAGGCCAGATTTCCTCAGCTGTGAGCAGAACAGCTAACACCAGAATCTAAAAACCACAGTACTCTTTTGTTAGTTGAAAAGAGCAGGGGAAAGGGTTTTTTTTATTTTTTATTCTTTTTAGATTCACATGATAGTAGAGTGTATCTTGACAAGTTATTCCTACATGGAATATAATTTTCCATTCTTGTGGTTGTACATGATGTGGAGTTAACGCCAGTCATATATTCACATATGAACATAGAAAAGTAATTTCTGATTCATTTTACTCTTTTCTATTCCTATCCCACTTTCCTTCCCTTCATCGCCTTTGTCTAATCCAGTGAACTTCTATTCTCTCCACCCCACCCTCTTATTGTATGTTAGCATTCACATATCAGAGAGAACATTCTACCTTTGGTTTTTTGGGGATTGGGTTATTTCACTTAGCATAATAGTCCCAGTTCCATCCATTTACCAGCAAAAGCCATAATTTCATTCTTTATGGCTGAGTAATATTCCATTGTGTATGTACACCACATTTTCTTAATCCATTAATCTGTTGAAAGGCACCTAGGTTAGTTCCATATTTTAGCTATCATGAATTGAGCTGCTGCATCGCTAAAGTATGCCGATGAATGCCGAGGAATGGGATAACTGGGTCAAATAGTGGTTCCATTCCAAGTTTCCTGAGGAGTTTCCATTCTGCTTTCCCGAGTGGTTGTACCAATTTGCAGTTTCACCAGCAATGTATGAGCGAACATTTTTTCCCACATCCTCACCAACATTTATTTTTCCTTGTATTGTTGATAATTGCCATCCTGACTGGAATGAGATGGAATCTCAGTGTAGTTTGAATTTGCATTTTTCTAATTGCTAGAGGTATTAACATTTTTTCATATATTTGTTGACTGTATTTTTTCCTTCTGTGAAGTGCCTATTCAGTTCTGGGAAAAGGGTATTAATATCTATCTAATATATCTATTCCAAATGATATCCAACAATTTTTGTAGTGTTTAAGGCAACCAAAGACAGTGGGTTTGATGTAAATACTTTCTTGGAAGTAACTCTAGTGAAACATAAACTTATAAGTATGATAGTAAAATAAAAGGTTACTATCAAATAGACAGTGATTAAAGAAATTTAATTATATGGAAATTATTATTATTTTTTTTTTAAAGAGAGAGTGAGAGGGGAGAGAGAGAGAGAGAGGAGAGAGAATTTTTAATATCTATTTTTTAGTTCTCGGCGGACACAACATCCCTGCTGGCATGTGGCGCTGAGGATCGAACCCGGGCCGCACGCACGCCAGGCGAGCGTGCCACCACTGAGCCACATCCCCAGCCCCTATATGGAAATTATTTATGTTTTATGTTTTAATCTTGTTTCTCTTTTAAGGCAACAAGTCCCCTTCTTTGTGGTTGAAAGATGTTATTAAGAAAGAAGATACTTCTTTTCTCATAAACACATTTGAGGGGGGAGGTACAGGCTGTGATCAGCCATCAGGCATCCTTGCTCAACCAACTCTCTTGCATTTGCGAGGGCCATTCAGCCTGCGAGTGACCCTGCAGTGGATGGACCTGTTCCTAGCAGCACTAGAGTGCTACAACACGTTCATCGGGGAGAAGACTGTGGAAGCCTGCGAGGTCCTGGGTAAGTCAAACTTAACCTCCAAGTTAGCATAGCCTGTCTGGTAGGCATCATCCTGGTAGACAGCTTGCTGCCATGTCAAAGTGATAGTAACAGTTGACAGCAGACTCTGGTTACTTAGTGCTATGCAAAGGATTTTACCTGCATTCTCATTTGTGTCCGTCAACTTTCTGTTGTGACAAAA